TTGAGTCCAGGTGAATGTGGTGTTCGACAGAACCCGACGTTCACCTGGACTCAGGGAGGAACCGGTCAGACTTCAGGGACACGACCACAGGAGGCGGCTCTACTTCCTGTTTCAGCTGCGTGAGCGTGGAAATGTTCTACTGCTGTAACCATGACGACGGACACCTATCGTACAGGACACTGACCAGACGCGAATGGTTTAGACACGTAGTGATTATAGTGACGAGCAGGTCGTGGGTAGAACTGTCTTTAGAAAGCTGAAGCAGAACTTAACGAGGGAAAGTAGAACTTCAACAGCAACACTAACCGTCGGCCATTTGTGCCGTGACAGATCCTGAAACCAGAAACCGTCTCACGTCTAATATCAACAGTAAAAACATCGGTCGCAGCGTCGCACGTCGTATTGTCAGTGGACGATCAGGTGTTTCAGTAAATCTGTCTGTTCATCAGTCATTTGAGCCAGGAACCAGCTGACGGCTTGTTTGCCGCCTGTTTTCTCTACAAACATGTTGATGTTGCTGGAAACAGTTTGTCCTGTGACCTGCGTGTTATTACTAACCACCATGAGCCTTTGTTCCTCTCTCTCTCCCTCCCAGCTTCTCTCAAACATCAACATGACTTTAACTGAGTGGCTGATCTGCTCACAATGACCTGATGAGACTGAGGGCGGCACCATGTTCCTCTTCCTGTAAGTGTTCTTGAATAAAAACAGGAAGTTCCTGGTTCCTGCTTGTCAGTTTGTTACTGTGTGATATAAGTATCTGATGAAGTGTGTAAAGTGAACTGGGTCGAGAGCAGTCTCCCAGACTGCAGAATAACAGACATGAATCCCCAGAGTTAATGCAGGAGCAGCTGCATAAAACCCGCCTCCTGCTCACAAACATCTTCGTGTCCTCCAACTGGATAAGAGTGTTTGAATTCCAAACATGGCAAGTATTTTATCTGCCAAGTATTTTATCTGCCATTAATCAGGGCTGTTGCAAAGTCAGTTTGAATATCTGCCATCTGCTCCCCGCCCCCTCCTCGCCCTGAGAGCTGTTTACTGTGCTCTCGCTGTGCTGGCGCCAGTTATTACCACAAGAATGTGGCTTTGTGCCGAGTTCCTGAGAAACGAAAGACAAGCGTTTCACTGAAAGACGAACTCCACCCGACTGACAGAAAACAAAACTGAATAAGAGTGAAACAGCTTCGGGGGATCTGGGGCTTTTACTGCAGTGTGAAGCAGATTTTTAAACTCTGACAATAAAATGAAAAGCAGAAGTTTCATTTTACAGGAAACCACAGACTGAGCAGCAGCCGCCATCTTGACTGAGCAGACAGACAGAGAGAGACAGACAGTCAGAGACAGACAGTCAGAGAGACAGACTGAGATCACGCACTCTCTAATATCAGTCATTTATCAGCTCTAAGTGCAAATGATCCATCATCAATAACTCCCCTCGCTGTTCCTTCAAATTAAAAGTTTCTCTACCACTAACGTCACTCTCACCTCTTAATGCAGCTCTCAGATCAGTTCATGCATTCCTCACAACACTAACTCGCCTGTGCAAAATAAAACCATCAGAACCGTGTTCATGAACTGACTGAGAAACACTGTAAAAGCATCAAGCCGTCTCCTCCACACTCAGACTGAGGCCTACAGCTCGTTTACTCCTCACGTGTATTTTTGATGCATTTATAACAAGTTTAAGTTCATCAGCTCAGTCTTTGTTTAAAATGTGCGTGTCTGACAGAGGGTGGTGTAACAACATGAAGTTTCAAACCAAATATAGACACACAGTGTTCTGATGATTACACATGCCTGTCTAACTACCAGCAAGAATAAACATGCCACAGCAATCACTGAAGCAATCCAACAGATCAAAGATCCCTGGAGGAGACGCCCGCCTCCCTCCACCCTACCACAGCTGAAAACCTGGTCCAGTCATCAAGAAAAACCTCCACTGACTGATCCAACCACACAAGAGTGTATTTGCACAAACACACACACCTTTGTTTCTTTTGTAACTACATTTCATGACGGCTGTTTTGTTTCCCTGAACTTGTGGACTGGTTTTATCTTCACTCTGTTGTCCTGTATGAATGTGTTTGTAAGATGCTGCAGACGTTGCCTTTGTGAGTGTTGTTGTGTTCGGTGACGTCTCCGAGCTGTTGTGATTTGAATCTTCTGTTGTTCTCCTGCTGTGAGGTTAAAGGTCAGACTGCAAGGTGAAAACCATCCAACCATCATGTGCTGTTGTACAAAGTGACGCTCCTGTGCTGCCGCCTGCTGGCCGACTGAATACAGTCAGCTCAGAGTCCAGCCCACACTGAGTCAGTCCCACAGCTTCATCCTCCCCTTCCTCTTCACCTGATCGCTTCCTATAATGTTCAGTATCATGTACTGAGGGATTAACTAACGTCTGCAGGAGAGTCAGAGTGGATCAGCTGAGGCAGGAAGCTTCAGTCATCTCCATTTAAATAAGTAAAAAGTACAACAGCAAAATGACAGCCCCATATTCTAGGTAATAAACTGTAAATTATTAATAACCAAGATGTTTATTTCATGTAAAATAGCAACAACAAACTTACATTTGTAGAAACACAGACAGTGTTTTTGTAGTGCAGCATTATTAGAATGAGTTTTTCCATTATATGTCATTAAATGATGAAAGAACTTCAATAAGTTTTAAAACTACAACTGATACATGGTTATTATCTATAAACAGTGAATTAAGTCACAGTTCCTTATTGTGAACCACAGCCGAGTCTCGTACTGTAGATAGACCTGCTCATCGTAACGTTTGCTTCCTTATTCATTTCAATAAGTTTACAGTTTCATTGTTTCAGTGTGTTTCCTGCAGCAGATTCAGATTAGAGCAGGAGGAGGACCGGTACACTGGCAGTGATGCTGCTGTTTCAGACATTTGAAAAGATGCCCACTGAAACAATCCAATATCTGTAGATGTAGCTTCATGCACAGTGTTTTCATCTTTATCTTCATAAAGAAGTTAAGTTTAGCACTTCCATATTCCCTCAGCTGAAATGTAATACAGTGCGCTTGTGCGTAGGAATACAACAGTTTGGTGGTTGAGAGTCAAAGGGGAAGATAAACCACTGAAAATATTCTTCATGAAGCTTCATTTCAACAGATATTGGATTGTTTAGGTGTCTTTTTAAAAAAGTGTCTAAAATAGGTGTTTTCTGCTGGCCCCGCCCACAGCAGCTCATCACTCTGCTCCTCTACCTGTGCTCCTCCAAACTGAATATACTGCAGGTAACCCCGACTATACATGACTACCTCACACAGCCCCCATCAAACAACCCAAATTATCACTTAAACATGTTACAACACAAACTTTACACATTACATGTCTTAACTGTTAAAGATGAAGCAATAGCATTGATTAAATACAGCACACACAGAACTAGATATACCTTTATTTGCTGGATGTGGAACAGCAGATGATGGAGCTTCATCCCGTCGCCAGGTTCATCACTAAATAAAAAAAATAAGTCATTCAAAAAGGTCTTAATGTAAGTAAATAAACAATTAATAACAACTTTTTTAAATATGTTTCTGAATTTTACAACAAAGTTGAAAAATTTTGTGAATTCCTTGATATTAAAGAAAAACATGGCTGCCGTTATGGTGCTATGTTCAGTACCGTTAAACCCCTGATGCTGCACTGACACACATTCATACACATACAGAAAACTGCTGCTCATCACTGACAAAACACACTTAACTACAGTCTTAACTACAGCTGAACTTATAGGTCCATTACCTTGACACAGATATAACATTTAATTGTACAAAACCTAAATTATACGTTTGCAGTTACATCCTCTCGAGCGGACGCGTTAGCACAGACAGTAACTGACAGGACGCCGCTCTGAACGTCTTGACCAGGAGTTTTAAAAGTGAGTAAATAACAAACAGAACATGTAACAGACCTAATGTTATTGCCTCTTTAACGTGCTGTCATGACATGTTGTCTTCGCCCCCGGTTCATTCGGGAAAACATCGTTCTTTCTTTGGGACGGAGTTTTCTCAACTAGCTAGCCAGCTAACCGCTAGCATGCTAACTCCTCCCGTAGCTACTAGCGTTAGCTGCGTCAGAACGTCTCCTCAGTAACAGCAGAGAGTCGCGCTCTGAGCGTCCCACAACTTTACACATTACATTAACAACACAGACCAAACTTCAGTTTACTCACCTGTGTCTGTGTCATCATTTCCTGCACCGGTGAAGTCATTAACCACCTCTGCTGAAGACGTCTCCCTCTGAGCAGTACCGGCGACAGCACCAACTGTGCGGCCTATTTACACAGTTTATGGTGCGCTCCTTATTTACTCCGATGGCAACACGTCGCTGGTACAGGAGTTCCTCCTCAGTGCGGAGTTAACGTCAGCTGCTCCACCGCGACCACAATCACAGATATGAACGAAGGTGACAAACCGAATGCATTCAGTTGGACATAAATAATTTGACCGACATTAAAGCACCGTAATATGTTAGAGTTGGTTCAGAAAACAGGTTCGTTTTAATACTGTAACAGGTCAAACTCCTGAATTCACGAGTGAAAACAAAGAGGGTCTTTATTATAAAAACTAATGTTAAAGGTAAAGACTGAACCACCACATGAAATAATGAACTCCATATCGACGTCAAAACGTTTCTCTGCAACAACTAATCCTCCATTGACTCACTGCTCAGGACGGGACACCAGTGTTTGTAACATTAGATCATATATGACATTTTACTGTATATTGGTAATGAAATGACAAGCTAACACTGAAGATGAACGGCTGTGCTATCAGCTAGCTAACATTAGTTGGCTAAACTTGTCAACACAGGTAAAAAGGTCAGAATGTGGAGAAAATTCACTTTAAAATCACACGTGATGAAGAAGAGCATCACATCTTCACGTCTGAGAGACTGAGACATTTAATGTTTTTACTTGATAAATAATAATTCGTTTATTAACAAATCATCAATAATTTATGAATACACTGTTAGCTGCAGCAGTTCATTGAACAGCATTCAAAACTACAAAATACCAGTTGGTGAGCAGCGAACCAGCTGCAGGACGTCAGTGGGTGGACTGGTGACAAGCTGTGACGGTCGACATCAGTGACGAATAGACGACCCCAGGCTCTGGTGGACACCCTGAAAACACACACACACACACACACACACACACACACACACACACACTGGTTAACATGTCAGATAAGAACCACCCTCTGACTCGTGCACAAACGTCTAAATAACTCCACGCGGTGCTCTGACCTCCTGACACATTTTCCCTCCTCAAATCAAATCAATGTAATCAATAAATTCACCTCATTGGAGCGTCTGTAATAGTAATTTTGTTGTATACTACTGTATATACTGAAGGGTCAATACACAACAGGTAGCTCACTTTTTACAAGGATATCTATCAATGGCTAGGTTAGCTTAGCATAAAGACTGGAAGCAAAACCCATCTGGCAGCACCTCTAAAATGTTTCCAAATGCTTTTGTACAAAAGAACAAATATATCATCAATCAGTGTGCTGGAACAATTTCCTGTTCCCCAACAGTCAGTCATCACGGTGAGGTTGCCGGGTTTGGTTCCGTCCTGCCTGTACAGAGACCAGAACCAGAACCAGAACCTGTGCTCACAAACTGAATCTATGGCAACAATGTAAACTGAGTAAACAGTGAGTAGGTGGGTGCTCAGTTTAATGATCCAACCATCTGCTGGTTGTGGGTGGGGCTATGGTGAGCAGAGACAGAGGAAGCTTCAGTGAGGAAGAGGAGCAGCTGTACCTCTGCTGCTGTTTGCTCTGATGATGATCTGTCCATAACTGACGTCTGCTGTTCTTCCCACTGCTGCGTAAACTGCAGCTGGATCAGTTCCTGCAACAGAAGAGTCATGTGACTGCATTTAAAATATACAAATAATACCCAGAAGACATCACTACAACATTAAAAACTGTCATTTATGTTTATTTTATAATACGATAGAAATTGTATTAATTTTAGCTGAAAACATCAGGATACGACGATATTACACTTATTTTTAACAGTATTTCTGTGCAAGACGAAAGAAAATGAATTCAGCAAGTGATGACTTATGAAACAGGAAAATGGACGACCACAGAGCTGCTCACTTCTCACACGTTTCACCAGCCACAGTAAACCACTCTGTGCCAAGCAGAAAACACAAAACTAGAAGTGACGCTAAAACCATCAAAACAGAGTTGTCCATTTAGATTTTTCTTTCCTTATTGTGGTCTCTAGGCAGAGAAAAGTTAGCGGGCTGACTCATTGCTTAGGAGTTCATAACCGGGCAGAAAACAAACAAAAGCAAACATACCCAAAAGCCCCCCAGCTGGAACTTGAAAATAGTTTTTATGTTGGAAGGAGAAGTTTTCTGACTGTCTGCGATGGACTTCATGCGACGATATTCACAACCTTTTATGAAAACAATTATTTTGATTCTTTGGATCTGTGGAGCCTTATGGAATAATTGAGGAATGGATAGACAATAGAACTTCACGACTGCTTCAAAAGTAGGGAGCCATCATTTTATCAGTCGGCCTTACAGCACAACAGTTGGCATGGTCAAAATACATGAGACCAGGATTGTCCCCCTTTATTTCATCTGTAAAAACGTTGCATATTTTGATGACGTATTAACCACTGAGCTGGTTTTCATTTCAGAAATCTGAAACACCACTCACTGAACAACACATGTACCTCAGCATCAATCTACATTTGAATTTTAACTAAAATACAACTTGAGTTTGACTTTTAACGTTAGCAGGGTTAAACTAGTTGTGGAGGGCCTCCCTCCTGACGTCATCACCAACACTGACCACAGCCTCCTCACAGCAGAGCAGCTGACGTACCTGTCCACCTGACGTCAGCTGCTCCTTTCACAGCTGAGGACAGCGGCGCTGCTTCACTCTCTGCAGAAGAAGTCAAATAATAAATGTTTTACCTGAACCACAAACACAGGTCGGTTTTTTTTCAACCATCTGGTACGACCCTACCACGGCAAGCCGACCGGACCTCGGTTGTCATGGTTACAACAATAAACGCAAAGTGAGAAGCTGACGTGTTGAGCTGCAGGTAGAGACACGTGCACAAAACAAGAAAATTACGTGTTTTTTTAGTTTTTTTTTTACAGAAAACAGGAAACTGAACTGCAGCACAATTTCTGTTCTCGTATCAACACCTTGACCACAAGAAACAAAACATGCTTCATCCTTCAAACAGTGTCACCAGAGTCTCAACCTCCAGTTACTAAGGAAGGTTTGAGTCGTATATGAATGTTAAATGTGAAAGAGCTAATGTAAGTTTAAAAAGTCACGTTGTGTTTTTTACTACAAGCTGAAAAACATTTACATTTATTATATTCAAACTGTAACAATAACCTCATGGGAAGTGCTGAGTGTGTCTCACCTCTAGGTTTCCTCCGGACACGTTGTCTCACCAGCAGAACCAGCAGAACCAGCAGAACCAGGAGAACCAGGAGCACCAGACCACAGGCAGATGCAGAAACAAAGATTACAGATGTAGTAACAGCTGGAGGTGGAGGAGCTGTGGTGGTGGGTGTCTCTGGAATAAATACAGAAATGATTAAAAGCATGTTTGTGGTCATCAACTCAACTGAAGAGTGACCTTTGACCTCCTGACCTGTGACAGTGATCCAGCTGGGCGGAGACTCTCCATGACCTCTGATGTCACAGCTGTAGAGGCCTTCATCAGACTTGTCAACATGGTGGATGGTCATGTGACCTGTAGTCTCTGTGATGAGGGAGCCATCTTTATAGAAAGCAGCTGGGAGGTTGGAGGGAGGGGTCTTTGTTTTACAGTGCAGAGTGACATCATGTCCCTCCATCACAGGGAGGACAGGACTCTGCAGGATCACTGCTCCACCTCAACACACAGACAAACTACAGCATTTCATCCATTTACACACAGCTTCATCAACACTGACTCCACAGTCTGATCTTACCAGTGACAGTGATGCTGATGCTGTTACTGGTTGCTCCCTCTCTGGACTCACACCAGTAAACTCCACTGTCCAATGGGACGATGACACCGATGTAACAGGAAGAACCAGCTGATCTTCCCCAGTCAGCTCCACACTGAGTCCTGGTTTCTCTGGTGGTGTTCCTCCTCAGCCTCCATCCAGCAGAGCTGTCGTCCTCCTCACAGCTCAGAGAGACAGAGGCTCCTTTAAACAGCTGAGAGCTGCTGGGACTCACCGTCAGACCAGCTGACAAATAAAACAGTGCAACCATCACTGCCTGATCTGTTACTCATGTGGACTTCCTGGATTGTATATTATTTGCTGTTTACATCCTGAACACATTGTCACGTTGGTAACACTTTATACTTCAGTGATTCTGACTATTGCATGAGTCCTGATGAATTCATTAAAGCAGGATGTGTCAAAAGCCCCTGTTAGTGTTGATGGCATTAGAGAGATTAGGTTTCTGTCCATGTGTAGTGTGATTATAGATCAGCTCTAGCTTCTATATTAATACTGTGAAAGTATCAAAGCCTCAGTCCACAGAGAAATGCACACAGCCTGTATTCAGAAACTGAGCCTTAAAACCAGCCGTCAGGACTTCTGGAACTTTGTGATGTCACAACAAAGCAGTCACCAAGCCCCGCCCACCTGGACCCACCATCCAAACCTTGCAGGATTTGGTTTCTCTGAGTGTTTTTACCTGAAATCTGCTTTATTTTTATTGGATCACTCAGAAAACAGTCAGCCAATCAGAAGAGAGGCTCAGAGCCTCCTCTCTTCTGATTGGCTCACCTATCAGATTTAAAACCAAAACTCATACTCGTGACCTTAAGGGCAGAAATGTCCACATCAATAACTACAATATTAATATTACATATTAATAAATAAAACACAGATGAAGAGGAAAATATGGCGCTTTAAATTCATTTAACTGAACAGTTTTATGTTGTATGATGCGTTCACTGACCTTGTTTTGTTGTGCAGCAGAGCAGCGAGGTCAGCCCTGAAGAGAAATGACACAAATAACAATTAATAATTTTACAGACTCAAACTGATGATTAAAAATTATAAAATGCATCTGATCTTTAAAATAACAAATGTATCTGAGGCTTTAAGGGAATAAAAGTTTAGTTGCTTTTAATAAATGATCACATGGGTTAAAAGTCATGATTCAACAGGATGTGCACTGGGGGAGGAGGTGATGATGTCGGTTAGCACTGCTGAGGTTTCTCTGCAGTGTCCGGCATTAAATCAGATTTTCCACAGATAAATCAATGTTTGAACTTTTAAAAAACCTCCTGAAACCAGAACGTGAATGAAGACGTCTGAGATAATCATCCTCGTGAAACTCTTCCTCTTTTTCTTTTCATTCAGAGAAGTGAACTTCTGTGAAGATCCCGGACATTTCATTTAAATTCTGTTTCACTTTTCAGCTTTTTTGGTGGTTTAATAAACATATAAAATTTGTTTTAGGAGTAAATCTTACTCCCTTACTCTTTGTATCTGACTCCAGCTCAGCCTGATGCTGTCAGTATAATTTCATTTACTGTACTTACAGAGCAGCTTCAGAAGAGATGTTTGTCCCATTGTCCCACAGAGTAAAGTGAGACTGACACTTCTTTTTCTCCCCTTCACAGCAGCTGAACCCCCCTCCTTCCTCTGTGTAGGAGAGTGAAGTGGCTGTGGTTTTGTCTTCAGCAGCCAACATAAAAAAGGTCATTATCTCAGATATGAACCGTCAGGTGTTTTAAACCAACAAACACACGAGGAAAGACAAAACACATTCCAGGACCTGAAGTTAAATATATCAAAAATAAATCTGCATTATTTAGTCTGATATTTTTAGTCCTAAAAACCACCACAGAAAAACACAAGACAAAAACAACCTTCATGAAGGTAGATATTTCAATAAGAACACCTATTTACTTACCAATATACATACCTATAACACATAGTTACTTTTTACATTTACTACACTGGCACAGGAGGAAGTACTGTTTTTAATGTCATTCATTAGAAAGAGGGCAGAGGGTTTGCAAAGGAGAACATTTGTTGAAGGATGTGCAGATCCAAACTTTGAAGTGTCCCTGAACGCAGCACAGCACCTCCACACACCCCCTGCTGGAGTCCTCGGGTAACAGCTGTTATTAAGAAATAAAGCATGAAAACACTTGATCCAACTGCTGCAGCTGACAGTAACATTAATGACATGAAACATAAAAAGTATTTTATTTTAATTGCTTTGGTTTATTTTTAGTTTAGTTTTATTCTATTTAACTTTATTTATTTTTCTAATTTATTTTATTTTTCAATTTATGTGATTTGTTTTATTTTATTCTATTTTATCTTATTTTATTTTTATTTTTATTTCTATTTATTTTATTTTATTTTCCTTTAGTATTTTTATTTTATTTTATTTTATTAAATTTTATTTTATTTATTTATTTTAGTTTTTAATTTATTTTATTGTATTTAATTTATTTTACTTTATTTTATTGACACCCGCCTCTGATGAAGTGACGTTCACAGGTCATGTGACCTGGAAGTTTCTGCATAGTGAGTTAGTGAGTGACACGCGCCTCGGAGTGTCAGCCGTGGCATCACCACGTGCCCTCATTCAGTCTGACCGGGAACGAGCCTTCATTAACCCGCCAGCCTCCGGGAGCAGAGGGGGTGTGCGGACAGACGGTGTGAACCGGAGGAGTCCTCGCGCTGCTTGGATTTATTCTCCGCGGAGTTAACCTGCTGCTGCTCTGATGCTAAGCTAAGTTAGCGCCTCTGGAAAATGCCCACACAGCGGAGAGGAGAGGACGGGGCGACCCGGACATTGCGCCGTGCGAACGGGCCGGTTGTCAGAACAGGGTCCGGACGCTGGTTCTCCAGGAACCGGCTGTTTGTGTTCGGGTGAGTGACACGGGGACTCACCGGCCGTGACGTCACCAAGTGGCGTTTATGTGCACGAATACAACAAGGATTTATTCTATTATTTTATTATTTTATTTAATGTTACAACAGAGCCACTGACAGGTGTGTGTGTGTGTGTGTGTGTGTGTGTGTGTGTGTGTGTGTGTGTGTGACGGGAATGAGTTGTTTCCATGTTTACACACACACACACACACACACACACACACAGCTCCACCAGCTGATTGAACACGCTGTCACATGACCCGCCCCCCTCCTTCTTTGCACACGGTTCCATATAAACAGACTTTGACAGCTCTTGAAGTTTTGCAGTCATGTCGTCCGTGCTTCTCTGTGTATACTTTCTGAACTACTGTCTGTCTTCTGCAGCTGAAGGTGAGCTGTGTGTGTGTGTGTGTGTGTGTGTGTGTGTGTGTGTGTGTGTGTGTGTGTGTCGAAGGAGAAAAGAACAGGAAGAAGGTCCTCCGCCCATGACTCATAGTGTTTTGCATTTGTTGTTGTTCTCTTGATTTGTCCAGCTGCTCAGTGTTGAGCACAAACCGATCATATCACAGTGCGTTGTATCATACTACTACTTATTATTATTATTATTATTATTATTATTATTATTACTACTATTAACACAGTTGTTATTGTTATTGTTGGTATTTAGTGGAAGTTGTTTTGTTTTAAACGTCATTATGTAAATGTCATATTGACTCATAAGAAGAAACAGCAACTAAAAGTTAAAGTGTTGGTTCAATGCAGCTATTGTGAACAGTGTGTGTGTGTGTGTGTGTGTGTGTGTGGGGGGGGGGTCATGCTTTGCAGGATTAAAATATGAACACACCGCAGACCACTGTTAATGTTGCCGCCTACATTCTTCACTGTGATTGGCTGAACCGACCAACAACAAAGCGAGCGGTCCAGAGAGATAAGAACCAGCTGGAGGTTATTTCATGTTGCCTTCAGTTGAACTGGGACGTTGGAGCTTTTATAAACACAAACACACAAAGTATTGATCCTGCACATTTTACTGAAGCTGATCAGACACCTGGTAGATCCATTTCATCCTTCCAGGAGGAAGAAAGTTTCAGATTAAAATCATGACTTCCTGTTCTCGTTCAGCTCCAGTGTCAGTGCGGCCCGGAGAAGACGCCACTCTTCAGTGTCGTGGTCACAGAGCTGCTGCCGTCGTTCTGTTGGAGTGGAGCCGCCTCCAGCCGCAGTCAGAGGGTTACGTCTTCTTCTACCGTAACAACCGCTCCTATGAAAACTACCGGCATCCATCTTATCGCGGTCGAGTGGAGCTGAGGGACGAGTCCTCCATGAAGGACGGAGAAGTGTCTGTGGTCCTGAAGAACGTCACCGTCCACGACGCCGGAACGTACGAGTGTCGAATCACAACCATCAAGATGGAAGGCGACGAGAGGACGCACACCGAGTTCAGCCACCTGGTCGACCTGACAGTTACAGATGCAGGTGAGTCAGAGCTGCTTCCTGGTTGTTGATGTGAGAGTGAACCAGCACAGACCAGATGTTTGTGTTTTCTCCAGATGTTGTTGATGAGACTTTGTAGAGAACAGCTGGTCTGAGTCATGTGACCAAAGTGCAGTAGATAATGTCTGACATGAGTGTGAAGAGTTCTTCACTCATTCCCTACCTGACAGCTGATACCTCACACCTGCTTCTCTCTGCAGGTATCACAGAGGAGAGAGGAGACAAGGAGGGAGGAGACAAGGAGGGAGGAGGCAAGGAGGGAGGAAAGCAGGGTGAATATGTTGTTGTTGTTGTTGTTGTTTGTGGTGTTCTTCTTCCTCTGTGTATTATTGTTGCAGGTTTTATGTGCGTTAGAAGACATAAGTACCAATATCGTGATGGTCGGACGGACAAATACTGACGTGTCTGTGATCTTTTTACTCCTGAATGATTACGTGTTCTGCTGAATGACGCTGTGTTAAATCGGGGCTGTGCAGCAGAGGTGGATGAACTGACCCCTGAAAACAAACGCCCCCAAAAAAGCTTAAAACATTCCTGTCAACAGTTAGAATATAAAAGAAGCCTTTATGGATGGATCACAGGTACAGTTAGAGCAGACGCAGCCGGGTAGACCACGACAGTTCGGACGGGTTGTTAATAAGTTGCGGAGTCTGGGATTCGCTCAGGTGCACTGGTGTCGACCCGCACACCTGTTCCTGTCAGGCTGCTGACTCAGTTTCTCCAGGGATCTGATTGGTTACTTGTCCGGCGGTTTTGATCCGATCCTCTTGACGTCGGCAGCAGCGGGTTAACCTCGAAGGATGGGTGATCTATCTTGTTACTATGGTGATTAAAACTGAGCCATGTTTGTGATACTGGAGAACCTGAGTTAAGCCCAGAGAGACCCGATGACCCGCCGATCTGACTTTGTTGATAAAGGAAAGTAATAGTGTCTGGATAGCTAGCTGCTGTACAGAATCAGCTCCGCAGTATAAAGCAGTATCGTCTGCGTAAAGATCAACTTTAATGCACTTACTAGCACTTTATGGTGAAAAGCAGGTGGGACAGGAAGTAGCTTCGGCAGGGTTTGAAGCACAGATTGTGGGAGCTAAAGTAGCAAGGCTAGCAGGCTTTCAACAAGCGGCACATTCTACAACTTTAAGCACTTTATACTCATTTACCTCTACTGCTGCCACTGCAGCCAATCAGCATCCTTTCCTTCTGTGCCGCTCGTTATATTAAAGGTACAATAATGTTTCCTGGTCAGTCCCACCTGCGTTCCCAGTCCTAGTGAACTACAGTCTTAATTTTAAGAAGTTCCTTCAAGGCGCCACTGAGAATAGGACGGACGAAAATCCACCTGCTTATTTCAAATTCAATTCAACTGAATGTGATGAAAACACAGAATCAGGGTTACATGAACAAGTCGTACTGAATAACACTTTACTTTGAAGGGTTGCTTTTCCATTTCCTTCTTCCTGAGTTATTTAGTTATAAGTCAGTGCAATGAATGTAATGTTAATAATAATATATTTTTGTAGAATAATCATATGAAATGAAAAATAATGTAACGAATAAACTATAAAATCTCTAAACTGAAAGTATTTAAACTTTTAGTCTTAGATCATAATAAATAAATACATAAATCAGCCACTTTGGGGGAAATGCAGCAGCACATGTGATCATGTCAGGAGTAAAGATGACAATCCGATAAATGTAAATGTCACTGTATGTGATTCTGCTTGATGTAACATCTGTGCTTCATCTAACATGTAATTCTCAAGTTTCTCTTGTCTTTTAAAATTTAATTGCTTTTGATTAAACTTTGTTTTATATTTTTACTCATTTATTCTGAAGATTTTTTTATTTCTTTTATCTTTTTGTTTCTCAAAGCACTTCATTAAATCCTGATGCTTTTCAGTAATATGTATTTAATATATATAGTAATATATATGTTGAACATGTTTCCTTTATTTGTGAAAATTTTGTAAATAATGTTCATATTTGTTTGAAGTGTAACTCAGCTTCATGTCTCCATGTTTCAGTAAAACATATAAAGGAAATCAAGCTTTTTGTGCATGTAAATGTTCTACAGAGTCAAAGTTCAAACCAAAGAGAGAAACTCCGTCAGGGTTAAAACCCAATTTTCTCCTTTGTATGAAACGCCTCATTGGGGGTCCAGACATTACTTCCTGGTCCGATTGTTGCCCACCTGCGAGCTGGACACCGTGCTATACCTCGTTAGCTCGGAAAAATTATCCAACAATTTAACCATTAAGCTCTTTTTTCAGTTACTCTGAGAATAAAAGTTTAACTCATTCAGATTTACCAGCATCGTAAACCAGCAAGATGGCGAAGCGGTGGAGACTCCCTACCTATGAAGTGGTCGCAACGTACGGCTGTCTGTCTGATCCCCTATTTGTTCAGGTTTGGAGTCCGGCCCAAACTGATAAGGCAGAACCAGAAGCCATTTGTTTACAGGAGGACGTGGTGTTGTTGCCGGCAAGCTGACCAATCAGAGCACACTGGGCGCAGAGGGGAGGGGCTTTAAAGAGGCCTGAGTTGTGACAGCATTTCGGTCTTTTTGGAACATTGAAGCGTATAAATTTATTTTTAATAGACCTATTATGGACTAAAAACAGGTCACTTTAATGTAGTTTTAACGTAAATAGACAATAGAATAAATAACACTTCATCACTGTCAGAAACCAACGTGATTCTGTGGAGTTTGTCCTCTAGTGTGAATCCACAGCAGCAAAATCCAAATCTGGAAGAAAGAAAATCAAAATAAAGGAAACAGACAAGCTGCAGAACGACAGAAACTAACAGAATTAAAGTTTTATTCACTGCATTTCAATGATATTTAGCTTCTATGTTCTGGTTTGAAACTCATGATCCACAATAACAGAGCTGCTGTGTGTGAAATATCTGCTGATCCAAATTTGGGTTTTATTCCTTCTCAGCTGTTTGTGACTCGTGGTAGTCATTTAGAGAGTCAGCTGCCACAAGGACGGAGCATGAACGCCACATCATCACACACACACACACACACACACACACACAGTCAACGTGTCCATGACTTGTTATGTTTTTACATACAGGATGTTTGTGTCTTTCGCTTCCATCTCCTGGGAAGAGACAAGCGACAGAGCAGATGACTCAGCAGCGTTCAGCCTGTCGGTCTGAAGAAGGTGAAAGTGAAAACACAAAACCTGGACTGAAGGAAAAACACCTGAACAACCAGAGAAGAAAAACCCAGAGAGGCGGCAGACGTCTGATGCATGTGATGCGTCAGCAGAATAAAAGCCTCTTTGTCATAATGCACACATGAACATGAACATGAACATGAACATACACATGAACATGAACATGAACATGAACATGAACATGAACATGAACATGAACATGAACATGAGGAGGTGAGAACTGTTGGCTTTTGTTTTCTCTCTCCGTCTCTGTTTCACCGCCATTTTGTTCTTTATCAAGTTACCAAAGCAAACAGAGCAGTGTGAGAGGTTATGAAAACACTCTGCGCGCGCACACGCACGCACGCACGCACGCACGTGTTTCCTGATGAGCTGCCCCCTGCTGGAGGTGCTCGAACATGATATTTTTTCCTCTTCAGGTTCATTAATCATCAGTTATTTCATTCTTAGAACAAGGTGAAATACAAACATTATAAAGAATTAAAATATAAGAAGAAGCTGTCAAATAATGTTTTGATGAAGTCAATCAAATATTCATTTATGATCAAGGGAAATATTCATTTGTGTGTTTATTATTAGTTTTTATTTCCAGTTATCGTCCTCATTCTGACGGGACACGTGATCAGTAACAACATCTGTTGACTCGTATTATTTGTCACTTTAGTTTTTTTTCCATTTCCAATATTAAATAATTAAAAAAATAATAAACAAAGACAAATTTAGAATCAAATCTTTGATCTGTGTTATTTGTCACTTTGTTTTTCACTGCTTCTATTTATTTAAATTAGAAAATGTACAATCAGACATCTCAGTTCTTAAATAAAACAAACCAAAAACTTCAACAAAAAAGATAAGTAATTAAAAAAGACAAATATATAATCAGCTCTATTGATCTGTATTATTTGTCAATTTATTTGTATTTCTTTTTTTATTGTTTCCATTTATTCAAATTAGAAAATGTACAAACTATCAGACAAATTCGTTCTTGAATAAAACAAACATAAAAAATCAACAAAAAAAGGAAGATTATTATTTAGAAATAATAAACAAATACAGAAATAAAATAAAGACAGAAATATATAGCTAATCAAATCTATTTATCTGTTTTATTCCTAACTTTGTTTTTTATGCTTCTTTAAATTAAAACACGTACAAACTCAGACATTTCAGTTTTTAAATGAATTAGATAAAAACTTCTCAAAAAAGGAAGATAAATAATAAAGAAATACAGAATTTAAAATAAGAAATAAATAAGAAACGAATATATAATTGAATAATGTAATATCTGACGGGGACTTGTTTCTTGTTTGTTACAGGTTTGACTGAAAGTGACGTTCAAGATCAATTAGCAGCAACTTAATTGATGACTTGATTTAAGAAATGTATGTTTTATGAATATGAAAGTTCCGCAGTAAAATCAGGAGTTAACAAAGTTTGATTGTTACATTCAAAAATAAGTGAAAATATTTTTCTCTTTAATGTTTTTTGTCGCTGTATTTTGAACCGGTTTTGTTGTTGCAGTGACCTGTAGCCTTCTTGTTACCATGGTGATTAAAATGGAACCGTATAAGGGATATAAGGGTGTGTGTGTCCTCCGGCTCGGGAGGGGGAAGGGGAGAGGGGGAGGGGGGGGGTATAAAAGCGCAGAGTCGATGTCTCACTCATGTAGAAGACGGACCGAGCTGCTCACCGAACTTCCGGCCAGGACACAGAACCATGGGACGTCATGGACATGAATATGGTTTCCACCACAGGGACAAATGGCGGGAAAAGGTGAGTGTTGTTGACTTATTTTTGACACACTATCTTTACCAGACTCGGTGCGGGGGGGTCTCATCCTGGTTTCATCAGTACAGCTGCAGTGATCAGTAGATTAATCGATTATTGAATCAAGAGAAAATGAATTGATAATGTCTTTAACCATCAAATGATCATTGAGATTCATCACATCGCTACAATGTTCTACTGAGGTTCTACTGAGGTTCTACTGAGCCTGTGGCTCTTTACTGCGTCTCTCTCTCTCTCTCCCGCCCACTGAGAGTTACGCCCCTCCCCACTGCGGAAAAAGAAATAATCCAGTTACTGTCAATATATATAAATATGTGACACATGTAATAAATAATAAGTAAATAAAGTAATAATAGAAACCGAATCTGAAGTAAATAAGATAAAATAGAAATACTAAAAATGATATAAAAATATAAAACTAATGGGTTGAGCAGTGTCTCAGTTCTAATGTAATGAACAATATGTCAGTGCTGTGGCCCTGTGCAGTCTGATGGCTGTACATGTATATATTCATTATATGTATATATTCACTATATATTTCAGAATCTGGATTATTGCCAAGTAGGTTTTCAACACGAGGAATTTGCTTTGGTTTTTTGGTTCATATCAATAATCAATCGACATATTGATAAGAACAGAAGTGTAAACAAAGATGAAACAAGGATTAGCTGCAGGTCAGATATCTTAAATATAATAGAAAAGATGCCGTCAGATATATATTATATATACATTCCACCAGCAGGGGGCGGTGTCGCCTCACTGGTCTGAGCTGGGTGATGATCCTGGACTCTGACTGCATGAATACAGTGATGTTGTGCTGAGGAGAGGAGCTTCACTGCTCCCTATCTTATCTCCTTTAGCAGAGGAAACAAGAAGCGCCGTCCCACAATGCCTTGCTGCAGCAACATTTAAAACCACAGCGCAGTCACATAAATGTAGAAACATCAGAGCAGCTGATGGACTGAAGCCCAGATTCATTCTCTTTCATCAGTCAGGCGTCGTCATGAAGAACAAGCTGATGAATCTGTAGTGACATCATCACCATAAATACTTTAGTCTGTACATTCATGTAGTTTCACTGAATCCTGTAAAGACCTAAAGATGTTTTTTCTCTAGTTAACAAATGAAGAAATGTGAGGAAACTGAATGTAATTTATTCTCAGGTCATTATTTCTATTTAATTATTATTTCACCAGATCAATTTTCTCTATTTGTTGTTCTTTCATGTTTTCTGATTTCAACAGTTCATCCTGTTTGTTTCTGTGGGAGTGAGATCTGGTGGCTGGAGGTCACGTGAGTTCAGTGAACTCATCGTCATGTCCATGAGAGCAGTCTGAGATGATGTGAGCTTTGTGACGTGCTCGTCATCCTGCTGGAAGACGCCATCAGAAGACGGGTACGCTGTGGTCATAAAGGGACGGACATGGTCAGCAGCAACACTCAGGTAGACTGTGGCGTTTAAACGATGCTCCCCCACCTCATTACACCAGCAGCAGCCTGAAGCGCTGACGAGATGGATCCTCCTTTCACGTAGTTTAAATTCTGACCTCACCATCCGAGTGTCGCCGGAGGATCCAGACTCATCAACCAGGAAACCTTCTTCTTCTCTGATGACGTGAGCGCTGAGTGTAAATCCTGCTGCAGAGCGAGGAGACAGACACAAACTACTGGCGCTGTCTGGAGGTCGGCTCTGTGACGCCACTGCAGAGATCCGACACCTGGTTCTGGTTCTGGACTTTGTCTCAAAGACCATTTAAAGTCAAAGAGCTTGAAAACAGTTCAGAGGAAGTTGGTTGTGAGAGCGAGAGAACTTCCTCTTTAGTCCACAAAACGAAGAGCTTTGAAACTCAAGGAAGATGACTGTGTGTGTGTGTGTGTGTGTGTGTTTACAGTGTCTCTCTAAGAGCCGAGGGTCTGGGTTTTTCAGGGGTGAATAAACGTGTATTTCCTGCCGTATTGCAGAAGTAGCAGGAACATGAATATTCCTCCTCGGACGTCGACGGATGTTGGTGGTTTTGTCTTCGAGACAACACAGATTAGAAATACACTTTGAATGTTGTTAGAATCTGTCGACTCTCCTCTTTGTGTTTCATGTTCTTGTGAGATCGTACGTGACTCAGCCGGAGCTGGAAGGTCTCTGATATTTCTTTTAAAGTAAAAGGACCCAACTTTGCATTTTGGGTCATTTATTAAACGTCTATCTGCTCTTTTACTCACATGTTGCTCTGTATTTCCATGAATCTAAGACGCTGCTAAACACTCATCAGTTCACACGCAGCAGTGAAGGTTTGTGTCATGTCATGTGACTGTGCCAGAGCAGGAGTACAGGGAGCGAGCGGTGAGCAGGGTTGTCATGGTTTCCACATGGACAAGAACAGTTGAAAATCATTTACAGCTTTTCTTCCTCCTGAAGGTTGAAACTGAGAGAAATGCCGTCCCACAATTCCTTGCTGCAGCAACATTTAAAACTAAATCCACAAATATGGATTTATTGTCTTTAGATCCAGTCAGGAGTCGTCACGAAGAACAAGCGGATTTATCTAAAGGGGGGTTTATCCTCCATGTTATAAATAAAGTTGGTTCTTCTTCACATCTTTGGCCTCATGGCGTTTTTCCGACGACTTTTCCCGCCTCTGTTCAGGTCTATAGACGAGATCCACGGGGCGTTTATTTTGGCAGAAGTTTGATTTCAGCCAAACAGAGCAGAGCGTCGATAACGTCGCCATCAACAGTCAGAGAGAAGCGGCTCGGCGGTTTTCTCACTGACAGCGTGATGAGTAAATGTAAACCACGTGTTTCACCACCAGGCCAGCTGTGAAACCAGAACAGCAGAGGAACGTGTGACGTGTGTGGCGTCCTAACTGAAAGCGTGCACACCCAGCAGGACGTGCACGCTGCAGCAACACATCTGTTCATCTGTCTAACAATGCAGCAGCGCTGGTCAAAGTGGTCAAAGTAGACAGAAGGAAGGGTGTGGCCAACTCCTGACAAGACCCCCATCGCCCAATCAGGTGGGAGGTAAAGCTGGGGGGCGGGGCGGGTATTAAACTCTGTGGCAGCTCAGAAGTCTCATCAGTCAGGAGGGAGAAGATGCTCCTCATGGCGCTGTTTCTGTTTGTTCTGGCTCTGGTACCCCTCATCTGTTCTCATGTCACTGAAGGTGAGCTGTGTGTGTGTGTGTGTGTGTGTGTGTGTTTAACCGACAGCCACGAACCAGCCGGTGATAAGAGGGAAACTTTTGCCTCAACATGTGGCGCGAGTTACTGAGGTTTCATATGTTTTGTATTTGGTTTGTTTATTTGGACGCCGCGGTTTTAATAACTGTTGACACAGGCAGCAACAGCAAAGCATGATGGGACCAGGGTGGGGTTTTGGATCAGGAGAAGACAACCCGAGTTTAAGACTTCCTGTTCTGTGGATGCACGTCTCTGACAGGAAAGCGATCTCACATGTAGAGCAGTGAAGGCGTCTGGAGTTCAGTGTCACCCAGGAATGTTTGCAGAGTCCCCCCCCCCCTGACTGCAGGTCTGTTACATCACCTCCGTCTCAGTTTGACGTTGATTCACTCCAGACTGCCGAGTCATTACCACTCTCCATGTTACAGGGAAACGCTGGGAAGGGGGGGGGGGGGTGTTGCTTCAGTTACTATAGCAACAGCATGAGTCACTGCGGATGTGTGTGCAGCTCTGTGAGGAGGATGTGTAATCTAGGTCATGCACTACAGTCAGCAGTTTAGTTCCCAACTATAGAATGCCATTTTAATCAGATAATGAATGAATGAATGAATAAATACATTTTAAGATGTCATTTTTATTTATTAATGCAGACTTTTATTTTATAATTCCAGATTTATTTATTTTCAGACTTTTTTTCAGTCCGTCATGTTTCAGACCTGAGAACAGCGCTAGCCACGCTAATTATCTTTAGGTGATGAACCGCTGAATGTGTTTTAAAATCACACATTTACCAACCGAGTCGGTTCGTTAGCGAGCCGGTTATAACACGTCCTCTGAGCAGCTACTTCCTGAGGGAAGACTGGACCTCTCAGTGACTCGGTATCAGAGAGTGACGTGTGTTTGTTGCTGTTTGAATCTCTGTCTGTGTTGATGACTTCTTGATTTGTCTGTTGTTCAGCTGCACAGGAAGTGAAAGTGAAGCCCGGAGAAGACGCCACTCTTCACTGTGGTCGTGACGGCGCTACCATTGGAGTGTTGACCTGGAAGAAACTAAACATCTATCTCCTCTTCTTCCGGGACAATCACTTGGTCGCGAACTTTCAGGATCCGTCTTATCGTGATCGAGTGGCGCTGATAGATCCAGAGCTGAAGAGCGGCGATGGGTCTGTGGTTCTGAGGAACATCACCTTCGAAGACGCTGGGAGATATGAGTGTTATCTTAAAGAGGAACAACTAGGACGCAACAAGAGAGACACTGGCATCAGAAGTGTCATCGATCTGATCGTGGAAGACGATCGTGGACCGACCGTGGACGGAGGAAACGAGGACGGACATGTTGGATTGATGGTTGGTCTGTCGGTCGCTGGTGGTGTCGTTGCTGTTGCTGTTGCTGCTGCTGCTGTTAAATGCAGAAAGCGACCACCATCATCACCTGCTGATGATGGATGTGACCTTTGACCTGTCTGAAATTTCTCCGACCTCTTCTCTCTTTTCCATGTGTGTGAAGGTGCCAAAGCAGCTGCTGGTTTGTAGCGTTTTTTCTTTTCTAGCTGCTTGTTCATGAGAAAACACACAAATCAAAACATGTTGATTATGAGAGAAATGTTATTAATGTGTATATATATATATATATATATGTGTGTGTGTATATATATATATACACAGAAGGAAAAGTAAACGTACAGAGCTTTAGACCCGAGACTTGCACTCGACAATTTGCACATATCGAAACTGTAAGAAAACTCTAACGTTGACGACACTACGGTACTTTAAGTTACCTGAACAGCTCCTGAAAAGTCTGTCCAGCTTTTTTCTGTTGCTGTAGTTTTCATAGTAAGCTTTGAAAAAACCTCTAAGAGTGGTACAACGTCCCACAATGCAGCTGGGGTATTTGCTGTCGAGCCTGGATCACATTAAACAGACTGGGAGATTATAAAAGCTAGTTGACGTCCTGTTACGAACGGTCCATTTGTTCCTCATATTGTTGCTTATGTCATTAAGTTATGTTTAGTTTTGTGTGAATAAATGATATATTTATGTGCTGCTAACTGGGAAAAACTTCTAAATCCCCCTTTGTAAAAGTTTGTGTTGAAAAAGGAAATCCTAGACTTGAAGAGATGTGGGACCATTCACTGTCTTCCTGAAGTACGTGTCTTTTTGATATTCAATACAAACCACGCACAAAGACATGGGCTCTATCCATGACACTCAACAACACACAAAGAGCTTAAAGTTTCTCATCGTTTCATTCCAACCTATTTTCTCTGGAAGTTGGACTCTTTGTCGATAAAAAGGAATCAGAAATAAAGACAAAAAAACCCAAGAGAAACATGTGCCGTGTTTATTTTTAACCTGCAACTCTGGGTTTGAACTAAGAAATGAAAACTTGGTTCAGTGGACGAGCTTGGATATGGAAGAGGGTGATTCCCCATCTGGAGCCATGTCTGGAAATGTCCCTGTTTTTCACAGTCAATTTAAAACAGATGTCTAGTGCTTGTTTAGGCCAGCAGAAGTAGCTAGCTGCTAGCTGTAGCATTCAGCTGCTAGCTGTAGCATTCAGCTGCTAGCCGTAGCATTCAGCTGCTAGCCGTAGCATTCAGCTGCTAGCCGTAGCATTCAGCTGCTAGCTGTAGCAGTTTCAGAAGTGAAGCTAAAACCATCAAAACAGAGTCATCCAAACAGATTCAATAGATAGATGGATAGATGGATGGATAGATAGATAGATAGATAGATAGATAGATAGACAGATAGATTAGATAGATGATAGATAGATAGATAGATAGATAGATAGATGGATAGATAGATGGATGATGGATGGATAGATAGACAGATAGATTAGATAGATGATAGATAGATAGATGATAGATAGATAGATGGATGGATGGATGATAGATAGATGATAGATAGATAGATATACAGATAGATAGATAGATAGATGATAGATAGATAGATGGACAGATGGATAGATAGATGATAGATAGATGGATAGATAGATAGATAGATGGATAGATAGATAGATAGATAGATAGATAGATAGATAGATAGATAGACAGATGGATAGATGATAGATAGATAGATAGATAGATAGATAGATAGATAGATAGATAGATAGATAGATAGATAGATAGATAGATAGATAGATGGATAGATAGATAGATGATAGATAGATAGATAGATAGATGGATAGATAGATAGATGAT